GTTCAGCAGTCTTAGAGTAAGGACTAGAAATCTATTTTAGAAAACTTCAGCATGTGAAGTTTAAAAAAGCCACTAGCATCTTTTCCAAAGGAAGAAAACTGAAGGTTGCTGTTTCGTCTTGTGATATCAGGCATTTTCTTAAAGCCAGAAATTTTCTTTCCATGTCATTGGCTGAGAATCTTGCAAAATATTATTTTTAGAGTAATTTTTAACCCTTGTATAGTTGCAGGGAAAGGCTTATAAAATCACAACCTCCAGGAAATCTCATGCCAATGCTATGAAGAAGAAGTATGCATTTTTAAAGATTAAGATTTTTAAAGATTTTTAAAATTTATTTATTTTTATTGTCTTTTTCTTTCTACTGGTATTGTAAGCTCTGGAACAGCAGCCGCTTATCTGACGTGGGGTTTGCTGTCTTGTCATGGCTAAGGTGCTAGCTAATGTTTTTTTTCCCTGAAACCTGGGATAGATTATGACAAATGGAGCTGGGAAACTTGATAATGGGTTATGGAGCATTCTGTTTGTTACTTTATTAGTTTGTCTGAGCTCAGCAATGAGAAAAAGTTACTGACGGGTTATACTGACTAAAGTGTCTAGGAAAGCAGCCTGTACTTAAGAGCTCTTTTTGGTAGGTACCAGGGTGAGGTGTGGCAGTGGACATAGACTTCTGGCAGCAGTCTCCCTGGACTGATAGCAGATTCATTCTCTGAGAGAAGAAAGCTCAGAAGGATTAAGGAGCTGTGTAGAGTTAAAGTTTTGCTTAATATAGAAGACAACCAGCTGCGTTAGAATTGTCATAAATAAATCTTAATGAAAAAAAAATCCTTGGAATAGGAAATCTTTCCTATATTGAGACTTTGCACTTTTTTAACTTTAGCAGATCATCTTCCAAATGTAACTTGGTTTCAGCTTCACCATTTGCTATATATTACTGATTTATTTTCTTGAAGCTCATACTGGGATTTCTATTACTGTCTTTGCCATTGACAATGTGTGATCACATGCATGTCATGCTACTTCTCTGTGTTCTAATTCACCTCAGAAGATAATGTTTAATGTTTCCAAAATGCTATGAGATTTTTCTGACAGCTTTGAGGAAAAATATTTGTTAAATTATTACTGAAACATACCAGATGGGAAAGATGAGAGGAGCGAAAAAAGAGCAGAGTATTTCAAAACTGGAGGTGTACTATGTTCGTGTTTAAAATTCATTAATTTTCAAGTGCTGAATACTGCCAGCTTTTTTTTTTTAATTTTGAGGAAAGTAAAAAAAATCTAACATGTACTTATAAATTTTTGATAGTAAGAACTTTGGGGGCATGTTCAGCTTATTTAATCTGCAGCTATGCTTGAAGTCCATCCATTTCCATTCTGATTTGGACTGATTCATTCACTGGGGAACCCCAGAGAGGTCACACTGGTTCTGTGTTGAGAAAGGTAACACTTAAAAATGGGAAGACTGAAGTGAGGGGATGCAGGAGGCCCAGAAGTCAAGATTTCAGCTACCTGTGGCTTTAGCCATCATTCACCTGCTTCTGTGAGGGAGCCTGCACAGTTCCCAAAGCAAGGCCAGAGTTTCCTGGTAGCTTGCTGAGCTGTCCTGGTTCCGTGTAAAAAGGGCTTCAGGACAGGACCCACACGGAACAGAACTGTGTGTTCCCCCCACCCCGCCCCAGCGAGAGAGAGAGACTGTGAAAACCAATTGGGAGTTAATTAAAGTATATTGTTTAAAAGGGAACAGAAAATGAAAAGGGAGGTAAAAATATATACAAAGATGGGAGGAAATACAAAAGTAAACAAAATATACAGAACCCTCAGAATAGTTCCAGATCCCACAGAGCGAAGCACGCCCGGACCTGGAGCCGCAGGGCAGGAGCTGGGGCTGGCACCCACTTCCTGCCTCTTTCCCAGAGTGTG